AGGTTATACACGAAATGTGTGTGTGTGTGTGTGTGTGTGTGTGTGTGTGTGTGTGTGTGTGTGTGTGTGAGAGAGAGAGAGAGAGAGTTGTTCGGATGGTGTTGGTATATTAACTGTGTTCTTTCGGTTCAAAGTGTACATTCAAGTGTTTCTGTTTACCCTTGATGGCTTCCACGCCTTCACACGTGTAACAGGAAAGAAGACCTGCATGGTTGCCCGCATTGCATGGCCCTCTGCCAAATTGAAGCTCTCATAACTGTGACCCTTGCGGCTGTGGTTGTCTTTTTGGTAGGGCATCCCTGCCGCACCGTTGTGGGACTCTGCCAGACAACAGTTCGTTGGCATGCTCAGTGCTAGTGATTTCATCACGATCTTGCGGCAGGTAATGCTCAGCAGCAGCTGCTTCTTTTCTTCTTTCCTTTTCTCTTCCTCCCATTCTTTCGTGTCCTTTCGTGTCCTTCCTTTCCTTTCCTTTCTTTATTTTTTTTTTCGCTTTTTTATTTTCACTTTTTCCTTTTTTAAACAGGGCCTTACGGTCCTGTCTCCATATCCATTACGGGGAGCACCAGTCCGGTGCCTTTTCCACCAGCAAGTCATAAAAGATACAACAGGATCACGCACACACGCTTCCTTCCGTCCTGCCGAAGGACCCCTGATCAGCATTGATTACTTCACTGAATTGGAGGATTGACTGTCAGCTTTCCTTCCCCCTAGAAATCATCTCAGCTATGGTGAACCCCAGTGCTCGGCTCAGCTTGCTGGAACGAGACCTTCTAAAAGGGGCGGGCAACTGGATCTGCTGTCGTCTTTTTTAATCTCCATGCATTTTTCTATCCTGCCTCCTTGGGTATCTTCGAGTACCCTGTATGTTCGGACGCAGATGCCTCTTGCAAGGTCTTCCTGGTTACCCCGCTAAACACATAGGGATTCCTTTCGTTCTTTTGTTCCTTTCTTTCATTTCTTTCATTTCTTTCCTTCTTTCTTCCTTTCTTCCTTTCTTTCTTTCTTTTCTTCTTTCCTTTCTTCTTCTTCTTCTTCTTTTTCTTCTTCTTCTTCTTCTTCTTCTTCTTTCCTGTCTTTCTTTCTTTTTTTCTTCCTTCCTTTCTTTCTTTCTTTTTTCCTTTCTTTTCTTCTTTCTTTTTTTCTTTCTTTTTTTCTTTCTTCTTTTCTTTCTTTCTTTCTTTCTTTCTTTCTTTCTTTCTTCTTTTCTTTCTTTCTTTCTTTCTTTCTTTCTTTCTTTCTTTCTTTTTTCTTTCTTTTGTTTTCTCCTTCCGTTTCTTTCTTTCCTTCTTTCGCAGTGTTCGTCCTGGTCTCCCCTCCCCTTCCTGCCAGCCTGCCGTGTCTTCTCTCCCGGTTGCTGTCTACTTTGAACTCGCGCTATTTCCTTCTCGTTCTTTCTTTCTTTCGCTTCATTGTTTCTGGTCACCCCGCTGTCCTCTCTTGCCCTTTGCTCTCTTCTGTTCTTTATCTCCTCCTCTCTTTTTTCTTTTTTTGTCTTTATTGCCGCCTCTCTTTTCTCTCTTCGTTCTCCTCCTTGAATTCATCTGCTGAAGACCTGTCCCATCTATTTATTATTGCATGCAGATGAACTCCATTTATTTCTCCCAAGTTAGATATGGACAGGTAAGAAATGCTTACATCTCTCTCTTTTTTTTCTTTCTTTTTTGATGGCTATATGCCGTTTGGGATTGGGTTTTCGGCAGCTTGGCAGTAATGGTGCGTCCCTGAGTGAGGAAGAGCTGGAGACACACACAATTGCTGCGTGGAAGGAGGAGAAGGCACTGCAATCCAGTGAGATCGGCGCTCGCCGACCATTGATCTATGTACGTCTTCCTGGGTCACTAGCCTTGCCTCTCTCTCTCTCTCTCTCTCTCTCTCTCTCTCTCTCTCTCTCTCTCTCTCTCTCTCCCTTCTTTTTTGTTCTTGCATGCGCCTGCTTGTTTAAATATTTCATGCAGGAGTCATGCTTAAGAAAAAAAGAAAGAAAGAGAATTCATGCCTTGTTTTTCTCTTATCCTAACTCTATTTAATGGTGATTGTTCCATCACGATGCTCACTGTTGTATTGAAGCTCTCCTGGGGTAGAGTCCCATTGTCACAGAGGATTGGACTATGGGCCTGTACTGGATGTGTTATGCAGGGATGCAGAAAATGTCAAGTGCAATTTTCTGCACCTCTCGCTAAACGTGTTCAGATTCAGGCGATGCACCCGATTCTCTTTGCTAGCAGGACCTCTTCCCCGTCCGAGCCAGATAATCACTCTCTTTTGGACACTCTGCACTTTTCTGAATTGACGCAAATAATGGCGGAATGTGAAAGCAAGCCACATAACAGGCCTTGGGGCAGGACGCACTGAACTCTGTGGCCTTTCCCCCCCCCTTCTTTTAATGAAATAGGTCCCTGTGGTGGAGGTACAAACTGCCACTCGTGGTAGTGGTGTCATTTTCGGCGGATTTTGCACCGAAAAACTGCCATATTTCCCTGAAATTTGGCTTTTTTCTTGTTTTTTTTTTTTGTTGGTATGATATGTATGTGGTTTAGGGTGTATCTGTATTCAGTTTCAACGTATTTGGACCAGTAACGAAGAAGTCGGCAAAAACACCGAATTTTTTTTGGCGAACACCGAAAGCTACTCCGAATAGGGTTTTATAGTGCTCTTGAGTTTTCTTTTTCCATTTTTTTTTCCCTGTTTGGTTTTCTGATGTTTGTATTATAAGCCTGCATAGTTTGTTCGCAACATTTTCGACGACATTGCGTGTACTGATGCTGCGAAAAACACCGAATTTTGGGTCTTCCATTAAACCACCAGTACCTCGCCCAGCTATCAAGTCCGAGGCTCGGACTACTGGTAGCCTGATCATTCCCGAGCCTCAGACTTTATTGCCGAACCTCGGACAACGGGTAGCACATCACGGTAACAGAAAAAAAGGAAAAAAAAAGAAAAAACATACAACATTCTGCAAAAAAAAAATAAAAAAAAATAAAAGGGAAATCACACATGCCCAACGACAATGAATCTTCCTCGATAAAGAGGAAGATTCATTCTCGTGGGAGATTCTCACACACACACACATCGATAAAGAGAAAAATTCATTCTCGTGGGAGTTTCTTAAAAGAGAGAGAGAGAGAGAGAGAGAGAGAGAGAGAGAGAGAGAGAGAGAGAGAGAGAGAGAGAGAGAGAGGGCCGAGTTTGGTGTGCCAAACTCGGCATCGGACTCTGTGCATCCCCTCCCCCAGAACTCTCGAAATGTGCAAAATGAGAGTGAACATCCCGCTAGAACATGGGCAGATGCGCCCAAAAAAATACCAAAGGGCAATGACATCAGTCGCGACGCCCTTTCTCTCTCTCTCTCCGTGTCTCACAACGTCAAAACAAGAATGAATCTTCCGCAATAACGCAGAAGATTCATTCTCGTTTAGACGGTCACACACACACACACACACACACACNAGAGAGAGAGAGAGAGAGAGAGAGAGAGAGAGAGAGGGCGTCCGTTTTTTTGGGAATACCGGTCGTCCGACGGTGGGTATCCCGCCTGAGAGAGAGAGAGAGAGAGAGAGGGCATCCGTTTTTTTGGGAATACCGGTCGTCCGACGGTGGGTATCCCGCCCGAGAGAGAGAGAGAGAGAGAGAGAGAGAGAGAGAGAGAGAGAGAGAGAGAGAGAGAGAGGGCGTCCATTTTTTTGGGAATACCGGTCGTCCGACGGTGGGTATCCCGCCCGCGACCGCGTCGGCTTTTTCAAGCTGGGCGCGGTACTGGTGGTTTAACCATCTCTCTCCCCCCCCGGACCCCCAATAAAACAGGGCCTTGTGGTGCAATTGGGAGCATGCAGTTTTCAGGTCTGACGCTCTGCATCCCCTCCTTCCCTTCCGGGGGCTCGAGGGGGCCGAGGCGGAAATGGGTTGGCGGAGGAAGAGAACTACGTTGTTTCAAAGAGGCTCAGATGAGCACCCCTGAGGATGACTGTCTTGTGACCGTCAAAACGCTGTGTCAGGGAGTCGTACCTGAAAGTTGCATTGTTCATGTATTTTGTGTGTAATCTTCGAAATGACACCTTTTTTTCTTTTTTTTAATTATAAAAGAAAACAGAACCTTACGGTTCTGGCTCCATTCCATCCCAGGGAGCGCCAGTCTGGTTCCTATTCCACCGGCAAGTCAGAAGAGATTACAATTGCGACTCACTCACGCTCCTCCCCAATATGACTAAGAGGCCCTGATGGACGCCATTGATTACTTCCTGGAGGAAGGATGTACCACCTCTCACCCGTGCCAAAGTTAGCTTGTTTGGTCTACTTTTGAAGTTCGATGCTAGCAAAACTTGCGCTACTACTGTTTGCTTTGAAACGACACCTTGTGTTTTTCTTTTCTGTCTTTCTTTCACACAACACATTCTTGCCCATTCTGTACGGACTGACAGGTACAGCAACACGATACAGGTCCGTGTTTGGCAGGTCCTTATACCTCCCTTCAATGTATGCTCCCCTCCGTGACCTCGAGATGTATGTTCTTTCCTTTTATTTTGTCACAGTTTCTCTTTTATTACATCTTTTTTCAGCTCTCCCTTCAATGTGCCTCTCCGGTGAAGGCTCGCCTTGGTGTAGTTCAGCACGGCGTGCCTGCACAATTGTCTGCCACGACAGCACACTTGCACAGTGTGCGACAAAGGCAGACGGGGGAGGGAGAGACGGAGCGAAGGAAGATCAGCGGAAAGCAAGGAGCCGCGACTACGGTCTTCACCCGTATAGAACGACCAGTCATTGCTGATGTATTTTGGGCAACTTTGAGTCCAGGTGCCTCGATAATGCCCCCGTGTTCGGGTGAAGACCGTAGAATGACCCTTACGGCCTTCGCCGCACGGCACACGAAATGGGAAAGAAAAAAACGGCTGCATCTTCACACGGAAACTGGAAAGATTGGTGGCAAAATACATTCGTTACTTTTCATAGTTAACAGACGGAGGAATATGGTAGGGACTTCCTAGGAGGTCGTGTGCATGCTACAGGCGTCCTTGATGCAGTGCCGCATATTGGAGAGAACAATAGAAGTCCGGCATTGTCAAAAGTGAGTCTCCAACTGATTCCCTCTCTCCTCTCTCCTCTCTCCTCTCTCCTCTAGTCCAGTAGAGATTCCTCCTCTCTCCTCTCCTCTCCTCTCTACACTCTCCTCTCTCCTCTCTCCTCTCTCCTCTTAGTCCAGTAGAGATTCCAACACCCTCCGCAAGCAATGTGCCCATGAACCCCAACCACCACAGCCATACCCTCTCTCACCTTCATTGCCAGCACCTGCATAGATTCAGGTGTCATTGTCTCAAATGCAGAGCTGCTGCTTTTTTTTTTTTTAACAACTTTTGATAATTCTGCTGAAGAGGCCCTGCTACTTTTTCTGTATTGCTCTCCTAGTAAGTTTGTGTCCTTCATTCCCCCCCTGCTTCCCTCCCCTCCCCCTCAAAAAAAAGGGGTTTTGTCCTTCCAAATTTCGCGAGTATCCCCTAAGAGAGACTGTCTCGTGCACATTGTCTGATAACTTCGGTTCCAAATTCTAACTCCAAGGGATTGGCATTTTTGGATGTATTCCACAGGCAGGTCCTGACGACAGTTTGCGAACCGTCGCTGACAAATTGCTTCAACATGGAGTGGCCACCTTGCCGGTATTGAGCATCAGTGCGGAAGACGGAAACATCCCTCGTCTTCTTCACCTGGCATCATTGTCGGGAGTTCTAAAATGTGAGCAGACCTGAGTGCAGACCTGAGTTCGAATCCAGATAGAAGCAGATGACCAACATTCCTGAATGACCTGGGGCCGGTTGTTTCAGCCTTTCAGGATAACATCTCAAGGTTGTCGCATCTGCCCATCATCTGTTTAGGATAGGGGAGCGGAAAGAGGGCTGGGTTGACGTTGGGCCCATTTCCCAACAGGTGCAGCTCCCCGCAAACAGAATGGAGCAATGTTCCCCCCCCCCACAAAAAAAAAAAACCTTGAAAAAAGTCATACGGACTCGTACGTAAAAAAGATGAGCATCTGCGCATCATCTGTTTAGGACAGCGGAGCGGAAAGAGGGCTGGGTTGACGTTGGGCCTGTTTCCCAACAGGTGCAGCTCCCCACAAATAGAACAGCGCAGTGGTTTCCAAAAAACAAAAAGATAAAAAAGCCGTACATATGGAGTTCTGAAGCCGGGGGGGGGGGGGGGGGGGGGGGGGGGGGGGGGGGCGAATTAACACACGTGTTAGTGTTGGGAGTGACTTTTGTTGGAATAAAAAATGAAAAAAACACATACTATTTGCAGGGTCAACTCGACTCAACTTTGTGTGTGTGATACAATAATACAATATCTACCATCATCGTGACAGAAAGTTGGACCCCCCAAAAAAAGAAAAAATTGGGCTGTTGTTTCGACTTGTATGCACTCAGTTATCCTTGCACATGAGCCGTGCTGATCTTTTTTTTTTTTTTTTCCCCTTACTTTTGGATAGGCTTGCATACCTGCAGACCGCCGACGGTTTTGCAGCCGACCAGTCGAGCCGACCAGTAGTGCACTGATTTTTTTTCAAATCTGAGTTGGCGGCTGTACTGCGCTTCTTAAGTACAGCCCAAATCCGCTGAGAAAGTTTTTTGGAGGGGCGGCATGGGCGGGGGTATTGGGCTGGTATAGGAGGTATTGGGGGGCGGTTTGGGGGTGTTGGGGGGCGGTTTGGGGGTGTTGGGGCCTGTATGGGGGTTATTTGGGGTGGGTATGGAGGTGTTGGTGGGGATATCTGGGGTTCTGGACCCAAAATATATATATGACAATATAATGATGACAAACAGTTTCGTCGGAGTTTCACCGATATATAGTCGGTGAAACTCCGACGAAACAGTTTGTCACAGCCCGCTGTTTGTTGTCCTCTTCTCTCTCTCTGCCTACGGTTTACCGGTCAGTTCTGTTTGTGACGATATATATATATTCGTTTGTTGTCCTCTTCTCCCTCTCTGCCTACGGTTTACCGGGCAGTTCTATTTGACGATATATATATATATATATATATATATTTACCGGGCAGTTGAAACGGTATTCACCAATTCGTGGTAGCTGAGGCAGATCCCAGGGCTTGATCCCTAGTTCCCCAACTTACCTGTGTATAATATCTACGTCAACTCGAAGAGTTGAACCTGCGACCTGTAGAACCGCCAGTGGTAGGTA